GGCTGAGGCGGTCGCGCTCAGGGCCAGATGAGGGGACACGGCCACCTGTTTTCGAAGCTCCCTTGCGGGCCGTGAAGTGCACCTTCTCCATTGAGGCTGTTGTTCATCAAGCGGCATTGCCAGTCGCTGCGGCTCCTGGACGCCTGCGTCCTGCGGGAGGCTTGCGCAGGCCCTTCCTTGCACGCGAGGAGGCTTATTTTCATTCTGCCCAGGCAAGCACTCATCCTTCCCGAGATGTCAATGCACAAACCCTTGTTGTGCTTCTGGTCTGCTTTCAACTGTGTGTCCTTGGTACCCTTTCTGGCCAAAATCTTTTGTGGGGTAGCCACAAGGTCCCATCTATAGGGGTTGGCTGCGTCCAAGTGAAATTCATAGCTTGCCAAGGGGAGAGCGAGGTTCCACAGTGCTCTCTTATTTGGATATAAACAGGAGAATTAGTCAAGAGGCTCCAACTGTGCCATTCTTTCCTTAGCTTATACGCTGAAGTAATGTTTGTGCTCTTAAAAGAGCTCTCGGGCAGCTTGCTGAATCTGATCCCATCTTGGCCCTGCTTTATGGGACTGTCTTGGCCTGGGAATAATAGCAGGAATCTGGCTAAATAAATATTTTGAATAAGAACGCAACACCTGTTGACATTTGAGACTCTGGGTCCCTGTACTGAGTGCTGGAGTTGTGTTGGCCACAGTTAGCTGAAGTTTGTGCCCTTTTTGGGATTACCTCCACGAGCGAGAGTGGCTGTGCTGTGGGCAGTATTTCCAGGTGTGGTCAGTAGCTAATGGACTTTGTTTTCAGCATTATGTCATGAGCGTCTACAACACGCAACGTGCTGCAAGCAGCCTGTTCCTCTTTTCCTTTTCTTCGCTTGGGGCAATTAGGCTGTGAGATAGAGCCTGACTCGGCCAGAAGTGACTGCGGGGCAGGAATCAGGCGAGAGGCCAGACCTGACTGCGAGCTTAAGCTGAAAACATGTGCAGGTCCCAGGTCTTTTACAGGTGGCATCATGAAAGCGAGTATTTGTGTTGCAGTGTTACAGGACTCACTGAAGTAGGTTGCAGAGGGGTGTTTTTTTATTGTCCTGCTTTTTAAAGGAATCCTGTTTTCTTACCACACTACCACACCTTGTGTGCGCTGCCACGATTTGTGTGCTCAGTGCAGTCGCCCGGGAGGTGTGTCTGCCATACGCGTCAGCGTGCCTGTCGGTGAAGAAGCTGTCGTGGTTGCAGAGGTGCTGGGGTGAATTAAATGGCTAAAGAAGCAGCCAGGATCCTGGTGGGCTTGTATGGCTTGCTCTGACGGAGGTGTCATCGCTTCTTCTCTAAGATCATTGACTGACATAGGTGGGTTAGAGCAGCAGTTTTCCAAACAGAAGCATGGTTACTTGTCTTGTCATGCTCTGCTGTCTTATTAGAGCCCCATGTCTACAAATGCTTGTGTTTAAAAAAGGTAAAAAAATAAAAAGGAGAGGGGAAATCAAACATGTCCCCTCATTACCTATCAAACATCTTCCTAAAAAGTTCTGGTGTTTCATTCTATCTGTGGGAGGGAAGGGATGAAAAGAAGTGGGTCTTTGTGGGTCTGTGCAGTTCTGTCTGATACGAAGGCTCCTGAGGGAAGTGTCAAGTGGGGGATCAGGGAATGCAGAAACAAGTTTGAAATGAGGCTGCTGCCTTCTGTGGCCTCCAAGAGTTAGTTTTCAGGAGATACAGGAAGGGATAGAGAGTGTTCTTCCATAGGCTTCTTGTGGCAAATGATGAATGTGGTGTCAAACTGATAGTCCTACTGGGGAGAAAAGGTGTATGTTATGGCAGTAGCCTCACATTGGTGCAGCAGAAAGGGGTAGGCAGGACAGCAAAACAAGTTCCTGTCTGATTGATTTAGGGCTATGTTGTACTAAGGTATTTCACAATAAAGTATTTCTCATCCACACTACCATGAGGAAGATACAGCACCCCTATAAAATGGAGAGATAAGGCTTGGAGATAAACAGGTTAGTAGAGATCTGCAGCATTAGAAAAATATGTTTAGCAATTTAGTGAAACTCCTGTTATTAAAAAAAAGGTAAAATACTTGTTTTCTGAGAACAGCATGAGTGTTGTAACTCTTCCTTCCTCAGTAAGAAAGCTTACTGACAATGGATCTTTGAGTTGTATAATCCAGTGTAAGGTATTGCCGCCATGTTCCACAGAAGGTCCTAAGTATAACATGTTGGTTGTTAAAGACAGTGATTTATAATTTCTCTACCTAGAAGTGCTTCTTGAGCCTTCCATAAAAATAAATAATTTTCATTAAATACTGTGAGAAAAATTAATGTGTGTTATGTAGCTGAGGCCCTACTGTGAAGGGTTTGCATCACACACTGGTTTTAGTATGTCTAGAGCAAAGGGATGGAGGTGAGTGAATTGGGTCTGTTTTGTAGTCTGGACAAACAGCGAATACTTGGAGGAAAAACTAGGACTTGCTTGGAATAGTAAAGATTTCATGAGATGTCTTTTATCTGTTTATATCTTTCATATACAGTCTGAGCTGCTGAGAGAACAGACAATCAAATCAGTCCTCTGTGTAATTTTGAGTATTATCTTCTTCCAGTATGCACTGATTTTTCTTTTTTGTCTAATCAGTAATCTTCAGCAGTTCTACTGTTATGCTGGCTGCAGATCTTACCTTTTTTCTACATCAGCAGAAACATTTGAGTATTCTGTCCTTAAATTACACCTTTAAATATGGACACAATCATTATTTTGTCAGTGTGTTTCACCACTTTCAAATACTGATATAGCAAGGCTAAAGTACAAGTTCTGTGTATGCAGTTATAGCTGCTGTTGTGGTTCGAGCACGAGCTACATACAAATACTTGCTTTCCTATATTTAAATCCAATTTCATCTTTCTTGCAATCTGCAATTTTAACATTGATTTATTTTAAATGTATCTGTAATGTGCCAACATTCAGTCTGCTTTTCATCTGGATCTTGAAACACTGTGGTTTTAAATGTAGTTACACTTAGCAGCCAGAAATACTCCTTGTAGTATCTGTGTATGATTGGATCTTGGAAAGAATACATACCAGTTAGTTTTTACACTCTGTCTGGGAGCTCTTCCTTGTATTGCTTTGTGACTTGTCTCTGCTTAGGCAATGGGGTTATTTGGCTGTTCTTGTTTTGTTTTGTGTGCTACCACTTGGGGTGGATTTTCAGTCTTGGATTCCTGGTGTTGGTATCTGCAGGACATGGATGGTGAGCACCTCATGAAAATATGGTCTCATTTGGGCCCATAATATGTGGGTGACCAAAGTTACTAGTCAGGCTTAGAAAATTTAAACCAGTCTTTATTCATATCTGGGGTGTTAGAGGATTATTATACCACTTATCTTTGTTTTGCCTTCCTACTAAATGGGAAGTCAGTGGCTGATGGGAAGAGGAAGAATGGTGTAATCAGGGGCAAGAGGGATGGTCCGAATGGAGAGGAAGACCTCGAACAATGCAGCAAGGCACTGGAAGGGTTGAGAGCCTGTGACGAGTGGGCAGGACCCCAGCTGGACAATTGACTTCGTACAACATTGAAGGATGGTAGGAAATTAGTCATTATGACTCACTATGAGAGAGTTGTACTCTGACATTATTAACGGGGCTCAGAGGCGTTTGTATTAGGGTAGCCATGAGGAATCGTGTCTATAAGGTGCAAGGGAAGGGATGCCCCTCTTCCAGAAGAGCTGGCAAACCAAGGCAGCTCGTAGACCAAAAGGGGGGCGTTAGGAAATGACAGGGCCACAATACTGTGTTTGAGAGGAGCAGCTGCAAGTGGATCAGCAGCCTGTTTAACCTTTGTCCTTGAGGTTTTGTCAACTGGTTTCAAGGAGGATGTAAAAGAAGGGCGCAGGAGATGGAGGATGTACCAGGAGCTCTTCCTAAGGGCCTGGAGCCGCAGGGCAGAAACGCAATTCCCTTGGCAACTGGGCAGATGCTGGCGGGCACCAGTATGTGCCAGAGGGGGTGTGCTGGTAGTGAAGGCAAGAGGAAGGGTGAGGTTGTCGAAAATGGTGACAGGGGGTCTGTGAATGCCCAAGGGAGAAGGGAGCAAATGAACAAACGAAGAGGTGATGTGGGCGAAGGGCACTAATGTCAGGAACGTGAGCTGGTGGAGGCTGGGCTTGAATACACTCATCTGACTGGGAAAGAGGTTGCTGCGCTAACCCTGATGTTAAATAACAAGACTCAGAATGGAGCATTTGCTACCTGAGTGGATAAGGAAGCTGTACCTTGGAGATGCTGTGATGCAAGAAACTGTATGCTTAAGACATAACCTGGTTGAAAAGACCAGCATATACGATGCTGGTTTCCACACTGGTCGAAAAAAGAAAAGGGAAAGTACTTGTGAGTAGCCTTATTTTGGCTGGCTAGCTGCTGACATGGATGTCAGGGAGAGATGAGCCAAGAATGTCTTGGAATGAATTCACACGAAGCCACTGAATGGACCTGTCAGGATCTGCGATGCCAACATTTTAAAATCTTAAAAAGAGATGGGGGAGGGAGGAGACCCCCCTGAAAGATGGAAAAGAAAAAGAGGAAACTGACAATAGCCGTGTAGGATTAGTCTGCCCTGTTAATGCTCCTACTGTCATCTGGGCCAAATTTTTGTTGCTGAGCAGTAAGTAGTCTAGCAGATCTTCTTCTTCCCTTGAGAAGTGCAGATCACTTTTATGGACAAGGTTAAATGGAACTACTCAGATGGTAACTATTCAACACATGCTTAAAGTTTTGGAAGATCAACGTTTTGGAAAATGGGAGCTCAGAGAGGGAGCAGTTGTGGTGGAGTAGAGCTGGGCTGGAGATCTGCACTCCAGGTAAAGCAGCATGAGAGTGGCCATAAATAAAGTAAATCCAAAGTCTGTAATGACCTTTGGTATTCAGCTTGCTTGTTTCATCTGGTTATTTATATTTGGAGCAGAACACCTTCAGTATTCTCTGGGCACCACTAGGCATCCTTCTTACGAAACTTTTCACTGAAAATGGAAGAATTGCGCCCAGAGTGCACTGGTTTTGTGAACCCTTTGCAGACCACTTGTACTGTCTCCTGGACTACAGTTTGGGGACCGCCACTGTACCCATTTGCCGCAGCACAGAGATGGGTCTCCAGCCTGGGGTAGGAGTTGGCTCTGGCGTGAAGGTAGATTGTTAAATGTGGCATTCAGAGCATAATAAGTGCTGAAAGAAAAAGCCGCCTAGCAACCCTGTGGGCATGGGGGGAATAATCCTTACGGGTGCAAAACTTCCTCATGGTCGACAGAGCTTCTGCAAGGCAAGGCGTTTTTTCGTACCCCAATTAACCTAATAATCAGCTAGTTTGGTTGGGGTTTGTTTGGGGTTTGTTTTTTTTTTTTAATTGATCATTAAAATAGAGTGTATCATGGTCTGGATAAAGTGATTTGAGAGAACAAAACAAAACGAGACCTCAGTGCAGAATTTTTCAGGCTTACCCTGCAACTGAAGAATTCAGCTGGCGCTTGGCCGTGTTGGAGAATGGCAGGCTTTGGCAGGCGCTGAGGAATTTCCTGAGTTATGAAAAGAGAGCACTGGGCACAGGAGAGATCGCAGATAAGGCAGATCTTAGAAAATGATTGAAAGTGGAATTCTTTCCTGGTAAATTGGTTGCTTGATGCGGAAAGCACCTAGGTTTTTGACAGCCCAACTACAGCAAGAAGGCCGAAAAAGGGAGAAGAGGAACATGCAGAAAGGACATAATGAGAAAAGTGTTTTATTGAGACTTCTAAGTTATTTTGGTAATAAGCTTAAATCAGTTACACTTTTAGAATATTTTTATTAGCTGAGGATGTTTTTAGTTATAGTATTAGCAACTACAGTCTGGTTGGAAAACTGAGATCATCTCTATCTCTCAGAAATTCAAGAATCCCTCAGTCCTCTATAAATAACGACAGAAGCCTTAAATAGAAGGGGAAACACGCATGACGGTACATTTTTTTCCCCCACCATATGTAAATCACATGGACTCAAATACTTGATTTGATGTGGTGGTTAAAAGTAAGGATAGATTGAAGGGAGATACACTGTTGATGGAGGGTAGTGTGAAATGTGGTAACTTCTAAATACTATTTTGCTACTTTGGGAAGTACAGCTTTTGTTGTAATAAGGCTGATGCTATTGGTTTTCTGTTTTTGAACTTTTGCACCTGCTTAGCTCCAGTGGCTTAATGTTAGCATACGACAATGAAAATATGTATTTCTCATGGAAATGTGTGCTTTTCTAAAAGAAAGTATAACTTTGGAGGTATGTAGAGAGAAATTCTCCTCTGAACCAAACTTGCATGTTGCGCTATCTTTGTAGGTTTTTGTGCTAACTAGCGCTTAGACTCTGCATGTCTCCTTATCATACATAAGAAAAGTAAATGTACATTATATGGGGGGGGGGGGGGGGGGGGGGGTGGTGGGGGAGGAGCCCAGATGTTTTAAGTGTGTGGCATAGGTTTGATTTCCTAGGCTTTGATGACTTCAGACTTTCACTTCTTCTTTTGCAGCTACCCCATCTCAACTGCTTTATGTCTACTCACCTAAATCGACCCGCTTATAAATTTTCTGCACATTGTTTTACTGCTTTCTCTTTGCATCATTTGGGTCTGTTTTTTTTTAATTCTATGCTGCACAGTGAAAAACTAAAACATGCCAAAATTCAGTTGCAGACTGTCCTGTCTAGTTGTTGTTGATTTAAAAAAGAAAATACCACAAACAGCATTGCCTTTTCAAAGGATGCAATCTGTTTTACTGCTGCCTAATTTTGTTTCACCTGTATTTTTTGCCTTTGGTTCTTAGTTACATTTTTTCCATGCAGACCATTCCTGGGCATGTGAAGTTAAATCCTTAACCCAGTTCCTGTAGCGGGTATGTGGTCTTCAGAGGCATAACTCTGCATCATGCCAAGGGGAGAGGGCTCCCAAGTGACAGTGTGTTTAAGACCCAGTGGGCAGTGTGTTACAGGACTGACCTGACTTGAGACAGTGTGAACAATGAAAGGAATGCTGCTTTGCCTTTCTTAGGAAAGTGCTGGTGGCACAGGAATGACTGCTACCCAGGCTCTGCCTTCTTGTTGTTGGTACCGAGGTGGTAGTTTGTGTGTGCAAAACTTGGCCTAAGTTGAAGAAGTTGAGATGCGTTGGCTACCAGTTAGTTTTCAATAATTCAGTACTTCCTTAAAACTAATGAAGCATGTAGCCGCTTCTTGAAGGTCATTTCTCAAGGTGTTAAGCTCTTGACATAATTCATGCAAATACCTTTTTAAAATAAAAATTTGAGAACCACACCTAAACCCTTCCCCTTTCTATAACATTATTTTTCCTTTGCTAGCTGAAACATGGGGTGAATGTTGAGAAGCAACCCAAAAGCAAGCAGATGAGGGAAATCTGTTGTTAATGCTTTAGAGTGGTCATTTTTCTTTGTAAAGTAAAGGTACATACTGAGTTGTTTTCTTAGTTACTTGTTTTCACTAGATAGTAAATATAATTTCAAAGGCTAGATGTTTGTGGTTGTTTTCTGAGGCTATCTAATTTCACTCTGTAAGTATTACTTTGGTGTTTCTGCATGCCTCTCCTGGTTTTCAAGTGCATATGTGTACAACGGGTAGCTTCTGTAGCTGTGTTTGCGCTTCTGTAGGAATGGACCTATCTCTGATGGTATTGCTTCTGTGAACGTGCAACTGTCTGAAGCCATCGAATCCTTGGAGTCAACTTTTTTAGTTATGTGTTGGTTTTTGACAAAAATCCGCAGGGCAGAACTTGTGCTGACATGAAGGTGTCACTTTCTGTGCATTGTTCTGTGAGTCACAGGTCTGCCCGGGACCAAACAAAGCATGCTTAAGGCCAACAGCAGTGTCACCGATTTCTCTTCTATCTTTAGGTCCTTTCTCACAACTTGTGCACAGTGTTAAATGTTCCCCACGACCCGGTGGCCTTGGAAGAGCACTTTAGGGACGATGATGAAGGACCAGTTTCCAATCAGGGTTACATGCCTTATCTAAACAAATTCATCTTGGAAAAGGTAAGTTTTGAATTCTTGTGTTCTATTTTTCCCTTTATCAGGTTTTGTATTAGAGTGTCTTTACAGTAGGCTTCTGCTTGCAGGGAGCATGCTGGTGTGAAGACACTCTGGTTGTGAGTGTGCCTGTGTGGGGTCGTGATGGGGCAGGTACTCTGGAGACCCTATGCCTTAAAATGGAGGGGTGTACTGTTCTCTACTTCTTCTTTCTCTCCTTGGCTTCTGTTTCCTGTTACATCTGGTCATTGTCTAAGCTGTGTTGATGCAGAACCATGTTCATATTAATAAAGCACCTCAGCTTGAATTTATTTGGAAGTGTCTTGGAGCTATAGATTGTCCCACTTTATACCACGGCTATAACAGAATATTGTCATAGACTCCTTTGCAAACAGGAAGGGCAAAAATATCTTTATTGTCTATTCACAAGGTATTTTAATAAATAGATCCCTTCAAATAGTTACAGTGGGTGACATTAGGGAGTGTTGTTACGTTCCGTCTTGCAAGTTCTTTCCTTTCGTGTCTGAGCATTCTTCCGTCTTCTGGTGTGCCTTGTTTTGGGGGAAGGTCTGGAAAGCCAGCAGGGTTTCCCCTAGTCTGCTCTCCATCTTGTTCTAATATAGGTAGTCACTGGGTCAGAGCTGGGCTCTAGGAGCTGTGCATTTGAGATTTCGTTTGAAATTTTTGAAAGTAAAAAACCTATCTTCCTGCTTTTTTTCTGGCAACTTCTGTTGTCAGAAGACTGGTCTAGATGGTAAAAGCCAGCCCACGTGACAGCGCAAACATATCAGTTTCAATACCGCTAATTTCTCATACGCTTGGGTGCCGACCCCAGAAACCTTCAAGCTTGGATGTTGTGGCTGCAGATACACAGATGTTTGCTTTCTTTTGTAATGTTAAGAAGTCCTGTACTGACACGCTGCTGAAAAGGACAATGCAGCAATTGCAGATCATGCAAACTCCTTAGCCCGATTCACTGATTTTTGCTGCTTCTTTAATCTACGTTTAATGCTGGTGGAAGATGTGATATATATAATGCAGTCTGGCAGCTTGGAAGCAGGAGAAGCTTCATATATCTAGCTAAGGCTTACCAGCTTCTCTGCCTCTCCAGTCTGTGTTTCTCTCGCACTCAGCAATAGTGTCCTGTTTCATGTGTGGGAGTGTTGGCTGTTAATACATGTAAAGGTACCCGCTTAATGTCTTGGTGGTTTGATGTTGGAGAATCTTGGTTCCACTTCGTGTTGGCTGTGTGAGCTCCTGTAAGATTCAATGGAGACCAAGCAGTTTGTATACCAATTTTGGGGAAAAAGAAAAGGCTTTACTTTATTTTGGCCAAAGGATTATGGTAGTAGAGTCTGAACAACAGTGTTTTTTGTTAATACCATTTGTAGGCAGTAGCAAGCCATTAAGTAAAAAAAAAAAAAAGATAGAGATGGAAGGCTTTTTCAAATATGAACATGCTTTATTGTTAAAGGATGTAAGAAGAATAGTTACGGAAATGAGAAGCAATTGCATTTAAATAACACTGTAATTTGAAAATTAAAGACCTGGCTATATAAGCAAGTTGGTGTGAATTTTACAGTGCTTAGCTACTCTGGGGCACCTTGTTACCCCGTGGTAAAAATGAAGGACAAGCTACCTTGCTTTCTCATGAAAGGAAGGAGCATGACTGCATGTAGTTTCTTCTGTTGTTTTATTCATACACTGATCTGGCTTCTGATAATTGCCTGATATACCCATACCATTAGTTCATCTTAAAAGATTAAAATGTTAAGGAATTGGATTAAATTACCTGTAACTTCATGTTATTTAATCCTGACTAAATGCTTGTAAACAGTTTAGATATGTACTATTAAAAATTAGTGAAATTCTTTAGACAAAAGGCTATCTTTGTGGACTGGAAAAATCTTGATTGTGACATCTCATCTTTTGGAGATGACTTTACATCAATGCCAAAAGACGACATGCGTTGGGATGAAGTCATTGGTTGACAGCATGTCTCCTTTGTTTAAAACAAACAAGCAAAAAAAGCAAACAAGAAACCCCTTCTTTCTTCATTCTTCCAAGGCGTAATCTGTTCTTTTAGATGGGGTGATTGTAGAACAAATGCTATTAATTTATGCTAGTAAGCAAAGCTACTAAAGAAGGACTGGTGCTTTATACCGCCAAATACAGAGGAAGTTCTCTCAATTTCCAGTCGCGCATTTTCTGGTGAATTAGTTGATTTGAGCAAGAGCAACCTGCTCAAGAGATATTTTTTTGATCTCAAGATATTTTGCTTTAAAACATTAGTAAAATATTTAAAGAATGAATCCTTAGATTTCTTTTAAAACATATATATAAACTGTGACTTACAATTTTATTGAGAGGACTTTGTAACCTTTTGAAATAACTTCTGTTGTACTCTTAAATGCAGTGTAGCTTTTTAGATTTTTTTAGTGCTGGCTTACCCTGTGTTACCCTGCAATAAAGCCTCTTTATTATATAAAACCAAAGAGTCATCAAGAAAGGCAGAAGTCAGTAGTTTTGAGGCAAATTGGTTGCAACTAATTTCCTTTATCCAAATAGGGAATTTGAATAAATAGTTTGAATAATTAGTATCGCCTTATTGATGATTTCTAGTATCGTGCTGCTTGTTACTTAGCAGACAGATGTATCTAGGATTTTCCTGCATCTGAAACAAAATCTGTTCCTGTTCTGTAAGTGTCCTTTTCAGGAGGGTGCTGTCGCTTGCCAGTATAATGTCTTCATAATTTGTTTTACTTGGTTTCATAACCATATTTTAGCATTGTTCCATTATTTACAATGTAGGTCTTTTAACACCAATTGAAAATGTTTCATTTTCAATGATGGTGATGGTGGGATTTTACAATATGCCTTATTTATAGTGGGGGGAGACAAAGGAGGACATCATTGTAAACCTCAGGTTATCTCATCTTCCAGACAACTTAGTGAATGCTATTTACACTGCCAATGCTTGTTACATTTTTGGAACTGATCTGATCACTGCTACTTAAGCCAAATATTTTCTGTGTTTCCTTATGTTTTAGAGTTATTTGGTAGGATATTGATGATGGTAAATTATACTTTGCATATTAGTAGAAATTAAAGATCTAGAAAATTGTATGGGTTTTGCTGCATTTTTCTTTTGTTTATTTTGTGAAACTTCTTAGAAAGGGAAAGTAGGTGTCTTTTATATATGATGTTTTTATGTCTGTGAGTTTAAGCAGTTTTAAGGTTGGATGGGTTGGTTCATTTGCATGTTTCATCATTTGGACAGATTCACAAATAAAAGTGATAGTCGCTGTAGTTAGTAGTGTGGCGTACTGCAGAAGTTTCCAAATGAAATGGTGACTTCAAATAATTTGGACAAATTATGAAGTACAGTTAAAAGCATATACTAATGCACAGGAAAGATCTCTTGTACAAGGATTTGTTCATTAATTAAGCAACTGAATTGTGTGATATTCACACAGGTTGCAAGCAGGATGTGTATTCTGGCCAAACACAATTGAAATTCTGGTTTCTCAGTAGAGTGTCTTAAATTTCTTATTTTAGTTTCACATCAAGATGATTTCAGTGTAGGATTCATAGTAGTCTCACTGTAATTAAAGATATTTTGGGGAATCCTCTTTAAATTTAAATTCCAGGATAGTCTTTGACCCAATCTGTTTTAATAAATACATGTTTTGCTCATGTCATGAAAAAGCAATGTGTGTATTTGTTTATGAGTTTTTTTTGACATCAGTACCTCCTGTTTGAAAAGTTTCTACTTTTACAGTTTCTTAACTAAGTTAGAAGTACTTTTGCAAATAAGTTCAAGTATAACTTTACAAACTGTTCAAATATTTTTAATTTTTGAAACGATGCTTAGAAATGATCTCTCATCAGTCCAGAGAGATTCAGAGTAATTATTATGTAGCCACCTACAATGGAGTATTACCAGTCAAGGAAGCCAAAGTAGCACAGCCAAAGCTTTTGTAGTATGGAGTTAGCTCTAAAGCAATTTGGGTTTAGTTGTGGGATTTTCACCTTCCTTCCCTTCCTACCCCATGCAAATGTACTTGTAGAACCAGGAATAGTTGGCATTGCTGCATGAAATTGCTGAGGAAATTTTTATTCTTCATTAAAGGGAACTACTTAGTTCCATCCCCGACTCCCCAGTATCCGCAGAGCAACAATTTGGTGATTATATCCTTTATTTAATAGGTAGCCTGATCATTTAGAAAAAAAACATAGATGCAAATCAGGGTTATTTTTGAGACCCGGGACTTGCGCGCTCATTTGATTATTGTTCCTGAATAATTCCTAAACAGTGTCTCTGGTCCAGATGCCCCGTAGGTCCCATGAAGTCCATTTCAGAATCAAGCCTGGATTCTGAAAAAAGGACTTACATGTCTAAAGCAGGACCTCTGGCACAGTGTGACCTAATCCCCTGTGGCAAAACGGTCTTGAAATTTCCCGCTTGGCTGCTGCCTAGTCCTGGTGGCAGTAACATGCTTGTAGGTGACTTGGATTTTGATGTGAGTTTCTGAGGCGCACACAATCCAGCTTTGGTACGTGAGCACAAACTGCACACTTTCCTTTACCCTGGCCAGGGCCTGTGCCTGTCTCCACCCTCTCCTGTGGTCATTGGCGGGTGCCGTGCTTTAACACATGAGCTCCTCTCAGAGCAGCCCGCCTTATTTATAGTCCTCAGAGCACTTGCCAGGTGGTGGCTGTAGGAAAGGAGATTTCCCGCCCCGTTGGCATCTTCCTCAGGAGTAGCATAACCACTAGGACATTTCCAAGGTGGAACTGCTTGTTATCTGGGTGGGTGAAGTTGTTTTAGAAAAGAAGTCCAGCTTCATTGGGCAGGGTGGGGAGGACAGGCAGGAAAAAGCAGAGGCAAAAGTAGCAAATGGATGAGGCGCTGGCAAATTGAAGGAAGGAGAAGGAAATGTGGCTCCTAGCCCTTCTTCCAAAGGGTGTTTGTTTGCTTAGCTGGTGTTTCATTTAAGACCCATGTTTCTTGTGCAAACCACCAGAATGCTGAGCTTGTGGCTTTAGCAGCTGTAGCTCCCATGGCTTCCACCTTCTTCAAAGGACAGCTATAGCCTGTAACCAGCCCCTTGCATCGTCACTTACATTGGTGGCCTACTCTGCAAACATGCAAAGTCTATGTCTTTCTATCATAGTCTCACTTTTAGTCCTGGCAACTGTACTGTAAAGTGCTTCTTGTCATCGGGTTGGTTTCCTATTTACTTCTTTTTTTCTTTTAGCCCCCACTGACATCAGTTCATCCACTTCCTTAGTCTCTTTGACTTAGCCACTGTGGCTCACCCTCCACTATATCTGACCACTTACCAGACTGGATAGGAAATCATAGAGTTTGCAGTGGTGTCCCTGAAGCATTTAAGATGCATGGTTTGGCCTATCATAAGAAAATGTCACTGAACATTACTGGTGGTGTTACCACAAGAGGTACAAGAACCTGTTTCTTAGACATGCTTTCCAAAATCTCAAGTGACTGCCATTACAGTGCAGAACATGCCTTTATCAGTTACGTGCTGGCAAAGAAATAGCATTGCTAAGCTGTAGGGAGATAAATAGATTTAATCTCTAACATAAATGAGGGTTTAAATAGAAAATAGAGGAAATGAAAGCTTTTGCATATGTAAATAATTCACAGATGGGTATGTACAGTTGCTAGGTATGATAAAGGATAATGAAAACAAGAGGAATTTTTTTTTATCAATAAGGTGAAGATTTGCGAGTCTGAGAAAAAGGTTTTAAGTGGATTAGCGTTCGAGAAAAAATGATTACGTATTTATGAATGTCCTACAAGAGTTACATTGAATAACGTGAAGTGGAAAAACATATTAAAGGTCTTTCCCAGCTATTGTTCCAATATTGCTTTTGGCATATCCACATGTATTTTTGGCTATAATGGTTTCCAAATTTGCTATATAAAATCTCAGTAACTCAGTGCAATAAAGCTAATGTGCTAGAGGAAATGCAGAATGCAGTGTAGCCTCCTTCACATGAAGTCAGGGTGTTATTAACTCGACCAGAAATTGGAGGTTGGATGTAGATTTTGCTGGAAGAAATTCCTCAGTTGACCCCATGCAGGAAGTCAGACTAGGCTGCTGCAGTGCTCTTTTTGGGCCTTGACATTTCTTGCAAACTAGAATTTTTTGCGATGCTTTTTGTATGACTTAGCCTGTTAAACTTTGTCTGTTATACTGTGCCATTTGTGCATAATACTTTTTTTTTTTTGTTCAATTTCTTCATTTTAGGTTCAAGGAAACTTTGACAAAGTTGAATTCAACAGGATGTGCTGGACTCTCTGTGCTAAAAAGAACCTCTCTAAAAGTCCTTTGCTGATTAGTGATGAAGATGCATTTAAAGTGTGGGTTATTTTTAACTTCTTATCAGAGGACAAATACCCTTTAATCATTGTACCTGAAGAGGTAAGAAACAAGAACTTAAGCTGTTTAACACCAGTTTGCTTAATGTCCCAGTTGAACTATGTTAATGTTTGCTACTGTCTAGAGACTTAAAACAATTGTTTAATATAAAACTTTTATTCCCCTCTTTTAATAATGTAAGGCCTTGGGTGCTTTTCTTTGTCTTCCAGGGTGCGTATGTAGGGATTCCCACAGGATACTTTAGATATCGATGGCTATGTGTGTGTGTGTCACTTAAACAGCCTGGACTAAATGGGGCATGCTGCTTGCCTCCCAGTAAATAGCTTATTTTGGTTTTTGTGAGGACTGACTGGTGCTGGGGAGACTAGCTCCAGTACCAGCACTCAGAGCTGTTGAGGTTCTTGCTTTGCTCATGAGTAGTGCATGTATGTGATCTTTAATCACTGCGCTTATGGTGTGATTAAAGTTTTGCACGGTTAGTAAGTACATCAGTGTGATTCTGAAAAAACAATTCTCCCCTCTGCTCTGTGTTGCCGTGACTTGCAAGATGAGTCTTTGGTCTCATGTCACCCTCCTGATGAAAAGGAGAAGTACGAACTTTTCTGATGATAATCTGTTTCTGATCAAAAGCAGCCACCACCTGAACACTCCTGCTTGAAATGGTTGAAGGAATAATACCAGAGAGATCTCTTTATACTTTAAGTTCATGAACAAGTATGGGCAACGCTCAAATAGGTATTCTAACCCTAAAGCAAGATAGTGGTATCTCCACAATTCTCCCCTTGGGGAGGGGTGAGGGAAGAAGCAGAAAGATCAGAACTGTAGGCATAAATAATCTCTTGCAAAACTGTATACAGAAATCCCAGGGGTTTGCAGTTCAGCACTGGAGTACTGATTAATAAGTATTTGCAAACTGTTAAACTGGCATGCTATATTCCCATGAGAAATGGGACAGTCTTCTTGCTTGCTTTCCTGTTTTTTTTGTCAGTTCTGGGAGACGGGGATCATGGTTATAAAAGCTAAGACAGCTCCGTTCTTAATGGAGCCAAATTTGGCTTTGGTAGAAGGTCAGAGCCACTAATAAATGTCAAAACAGGGACTCAGATCCACATCTCTAGTTCATCATTGTGTTCCCAACTGCGCAGCCTGGCTTACCTGACAGTAGATATTTCACATCTCCTTATTTGTTGGCATGGTTAAACGCTTCAGACCTGCCGGCTCTGGGGCATTGGCATTGCTCACTTGCTCCCCCTCCACCAAACAAGCCCCCAGATCCGTGCTGCCTTCAGTAGCTGGTGCCAGGTAATGGCAATGTGTCTGTTTGTTGGGAGATGGGCTGCAGAGTTGGCTCCAAGCCCAAAAGAGGTTTTCCAGGTTTCATAGCTGCTATTGTTTGCTTTCTTTCCCATCCTTAATGTCCAGGGTTAACCTGTATTGCTCTTCTACTTGGAGTATTTTTAAAATTCTTGGGGTGGATCTGTGTCTGCATCTCCTTGATTACAGCAAGATTTAAATTGTGCAATACTGTTTAAAGAAAGCTTATAGAGCCTGACAAAGAAAGGCTGCTCTGTTCTTAGCATATACAATGCCTGTATTCACTCTAACCTTTTGCCTTAGACCACACAGGTAATGTAATCAGCTGGTGGAGGAATGCTATCTGTTGAATGCACTCCTTTCTGGTTTGCATTGGTCCTCCTCGGGTTCTCTGTGCTTCTGGAAAATTGCACATTTACTCATTTACCCTTTCACACAAAATTCCAAAACTAAAGATGCAAAGTCTCAATTTCAGTCAGTTTTGCTTTTCTCTGTGTGACCTTTTAAGTTCTTATGTCTGGGTTTTTTTAATGTTAAATCTAAACTCCAGATTTGCAAAGCATTTTTGTGTACAAACTTGTAGTTGTCTTACTGCAAATTGTCTACCTGAAAATAACTCTCTTCAATAGTGTTCAAAATGATACTGGTACCCAGTAAAGGTATTTTTATTTCCATTTACTTTTTATGCCTCTTGAGTTGATAAGAAAGCTTGATTATATATTTAGTCTTCACCACTTTATATATTGCGTCCTGTCATTTAACTACAAAATGGTTTGCATGTCATGTATAAAGTGAGGGGATTTTTGCAAAGTGAAGGACAGAGGAGAGGGTGATGGGAGCATCACTGTTCTGTGATACTTATGTTTTGGTGAGAGCAATGTAAACCTCTTGTGGGTGACTAAAGCTTCCCAGCCAGGGAGCAAGCTTTCTTTCTGTCCCTGTCTGTTGCTCTTATCGTTGGCTGAGAATATTACAACACTTAATTTACTGCACTTTCTGGCTTAGAGTCCTTTGTGTGGGATCCAGCTGTTTCCCCTCCTCCTTCCCTTCCACCTCATAGGCTTTTGGGTTTCAGAGATTTTGTTTCCCCTTTATAAGTAACTAGGAAACTTGCCTCATACTTTAAGGTTGGAAGGGTGAGCCCTTGAAGATTTTTGCATCCCATCTTGTTGATGGGAAGATTATAATAGAACTTCTTAGGTCTCCAGTGAATGTGTTGATACAACTTCATGTGGCTATGAGGGTGCCTTCTCTTCCTCCTCCTTGGAGGAACTGCTCTTTGAGACCTGCTTGGGAGTCTGATTTTCCTTTTTTTATTTTTAAAGAGATAAATGGTTTCTGCACTCATTTGAACAATTTCATCTCTGGAAAACTCTCCTGCTTGGCTGCAGTTTCACCTTCTTTGCACTGCGCTGACTAAAGATTGAGGCTGCTGTCCTTCTTTCTTGCCTGTGTTGTGTACTTTTGCACCAGTGCTCCTGTGCTAGGCCTTTCATATTAGACAGCTAATTGTGGTGGGGCTGTCACCCCCATCTGCAAAGTGTTAAGTCTTGATTCCCTGCCCAGGTGTTGAACAGGCAGCAAGTTGGCAACAGCTGCAGTTCAACCAGAGAAGGGAAAACAGGCTACTTTGGAAAGGTTTTGGAAATGCAGGCTGAGGAAAGCTTTAGAAAGAGCAAAGTGAGGAAAGCAGTTACAAAGAGGGAATTCGAAAGCCATGGAGAGGTGACACAAGGGCCGGTAGTTGCTTATTTAGCAGAGGCTAGGCTAAAAGCCAGAGGCAGCACCTGGCCTGTGCTCCTCATCTGCTGTGGAACGAGAGATGGCAGCCCTGCACCTGAGGGAAATAAGGTTAGTAAATACAGCATGGGTCAGGGCCTGGGTTGGGGTGTGCAGTTTTGGGGTGTGACTTCAAGCTTGAGAGGATCCCTCTATGTTACGGGGAGAAGTCAGGTCACAGAGAGACAGCAGCGGGTGGCTGTGCAGGCACTGGGCTCAGCTGGCAATGGCCTTGGGCTCCAGTGTAGCTTCTGCTGGCGACTGGTGGGCAGCTGAGAGCAGTTAGGAGAGTTGGAAAGGAACACAGGTTCACGAATGTCTATTTTGCAAAGGTGCTCATGTCCCAGGGAAATGCAAAATGGTATCAAATCTGAAAGCTCCCTCCCCTTTCAAGTGAGAAGCCTTGCTGTGCACAAAATAAAACACTTCTGTGAACTGGGTGAATGTGGTATTTCAAAGAGATACAGATGGACTGGAGAAAAACAATGCTGTATTTTGTTCGCTCTAGTTAAAATTAGTCCTAATGGACAGCTTTCAGAATTAATACAATTCTTGGCAAACAACAGACTTGCCTCCTATTGCAGTGGGCAGAGCTTTACCAAGCAGCTTATATTGCTAATGCACCTGAAGGTGGGGGCCCAGGTGGGAGCTCCTTCCCCTCCCCACGGCCGGTCTTTCCCACTAGCTCATCTGGGACGCAGACATCCAAGTGGGTGTTTTCCTTCAGCTCTCATAGGCATTATCATTTCAATGAGAAGGGTAGAATAAAGGGAAGAAAGGTGGAGAGAACTGTAGTGTAAGAGGAGAAGTATTTCTAGTCTGTCGTGAGCTTCCTTTACAACTTGCCTCTTAGTTGTTACAGACTCGTTTGTGTGCCTTGATGTTGTTTAACCAGGCATTTTCTGTTTTATAAAAAGGTTTGCAAACACTTCCTCTTTCTTATTTCTGGACATGTGACTGCAGCCTTGGGAATGCTTTATCGCCTGAAAAGCTGCGGTATGTGGTTAGCTGTGTTTCTGGGCCATCCTTAGTGGTGAAACTCACGGATACGTACACTGCAAGCTGCACGCTCTTTGTGTGTTGTAATATAGTGTTCACATAACTTGTTTTAAAAAAGCCAAGCATATTTGGTGTTTTTGCTTTTTAAGCCTGGCTTCTTGAGGAAAGAAATTTGTACAGTTATTTTTCACTTGTCCTCTAGCCTTCAACTGTATTGACACGTGGCATTTCTAATCCTCCTAGTTAGGACAGAGAAGGTCCAAACCTTGTATGGCCTTCTGTGCATTTGAAAATGAGGTTAATGTTTTTTAGACTGAGGAGGTGAAAGTTTGAAGCTGTCCAGTGGTGATTCTTCTGGAGGCATTTCTTGCAGAAAAAGATTTTTTTGTGACCACATTTGCTTCCTTGTTCTGCGTTCTAGTATCAGAAACTGATACAGTGAATGAAATACTGGGAATTGAACCTTGGCTGTTCAGAAACAAAATCAAAACTGAGACAACTATAATGAAAGCTGCTTGTGTGGGGTTTTATTTGACCCATGACCTCTACAAGTTGATGATGATGGTTATGAAGATGTTTAGTCACTTATGACTTGCATCGGTTCTTCCCATTTCACTGCTCTTTTCCTTGATAAAAGTAAAAAAAAAAAAAGAAAAATAAGACAGTTTTAAAAATTAAAAGAATAAGAAAAAATAAGGAAATAAAAGAATAAAAGAAATAAGACAGTTTTCAGCTTATGCAGCAGGTTGTCCTTAGGATCTACGTGTTTACATGTTACACTACTTTTTGAGTTGACCTTTATTATGTCACTTAATGCCAATATAATTTAAAAAAAAAAAAGATAATGGCTTACACCACATAATGAACACAGTTTTCACAAAGTCTACTAATCCAGAGTAGTTATTGTCTATGAAGTTTAATAAATTCTAGTATGGGGATTTTTTTGTTGGTGGAAGAGTGGAAACAAATACTTGACTTAAAAGTAAGTGATGTTCTTACGGGATGAAGAAAAGGAATCGATGATGACTGTGAAAGGGGATATAATTGCTTTCGTGTCTCTTGCCCTGTAACATGTGCTTCCACAGAATTTTGTACAATGTAAATAGGCTTTTTACATCTGCTCTGTTAATATCACAGACCTTATTTGAATAGCATGAACCAGAATAGCCTTGTCTGCTGTGCTCTGCTGGGCATGAAGGCCTCCTTGACATTTTCATTTTTCATCCTCTAAGAGACCCACTTGTATATCAGAAAAATATGTGAAACATCTATGATACTTCATTCCCCATGGAGGATAGTGCCAGGAATACCTGGAAAAGCAAAGCAAATAGGTATTGAAACATGGGAAGAGAAAGTGCCCTCTGAAAGAAGGTACCAAACAGGCTGCATAGTTAAAGAGCCTATGTTCTTTATATTATTTTTGCTTTCTCTTGGCAAAATTCTGGGTGAAGAGTTTCTTTTGATTTGAGACAGAAGCTGTTTCTCATACTGTGGAGCCAGTTGGTCTGTACTGGTGTATGTAGCATTAGCAACCCCCCTGTGTTTTTACGTCCGTATCTGAAAGTGAGTTAGGTCCAGTCAGAATAGCAGCAAACGTTGCTTCACGTTTGCTTTTCAACACTTTGCTTTTTAACCACAAGAGTAGTTTATGTTTGAGCCAGCAGACTTAATTTTGTCAGTTATTTGCTGAGTTGATGCGTCTCTTTGTGGAGGATGGGAAACGTCATTTGCTCTCAGAGGTTCCTCAGTTGAGCACATCATAAATGGTTTCTTCTTTGCTTCCACACTTACCAGATCCAGCTTACTTCTTTATATTTACCTTGCACTGTTCCATATTTATACCCCACCCCAACACTCACTGCTGCTATTGAGGAGATATGTTAGATAAATTTTTTCTGGCGACTTTGGTTAGCCATGTACTTATCTGAATGCAAGATAAAGCTTGATTTTTTTTTTTTTTAATTTTTTTTTTTTTAAATTTTAGAGATTAAATTGTAATATGCACAGGTCCTTTTTCAGTTAAGATGAGTTAATGTATTTTAAAATAATGAGCTATTTTATGTACTTTAATGGGATTTGTCATGTTAGTGACTTAGAGATGGGGGGTTAGCAAACGTAAATGTTTAATTCTGTTCTAATAATCAATATAAGGTAAAATGTGTACAAATGATCTTAAAGGAAAGGATATGTTGGCTTATTTTTAGTGCATTATATGATAACGTGTACTAGCCAAGAGTTTTGCATTGCTTCTTTTCCAGGCGATTAGTTTGATATACCTTTTGTTCATATGGCTTGAGCAAAAAAAGTGAAAAAGTCTATTCAGGTATGATTTTTTTTTGTGTGTGTGTGTATGTCCCTTTGTCTGCAAGTGAGTCCTAGTACTTTTGAGATAATTAACCAAAGGAATTTGAGAGCTGCATGCCTCAAGCAGTGTAATAGGCTGCGAAATCTTGGAACAATACATTTTAAAGTTAAAGTTTTAATGATTTTTTTTTTTTAATTACTGTCTAGCATTTTGGCACTTAGATTATCTACCTAATTAAGCCTCAGTTATTTTAGCTTTCCTTTCAACTAAAGTACAGGATCGTAGTTCAGAACTGGTGCAGCTCAGAGGGATTGAGCTGAGTGGCAGAATGTGTTTTGAATATGGGGAAAAAAGTTACTCCTGTATTGATGCCAGTGCTCATTTCAGCTCATCAAATCCAGGTTTTAGGAGTTTTTTGTTTTGTTTTTTTTTTTTTTAAACAAGTTTGCAGTGCTACTGTTCTTGTATGCTGTGAAGGGCTTTTTTTGGGTGGTTTTTTTTTTTTTTTTTTTTTAAAACTCGCCTGGAGTAGGAAGTAAGGTGCTTCCTGCCTTGAACTGAATGTTGAGGATTTATGGTAGCTGATGCTCAAAAGTGTTGGATTAATTTTTTAACTTAAGGATTTTGGAGAGTGAAAATCAGCAAAGCCTATTTTGAAGATTTTTAAAGTAATTAGTTATTGGATTTTACAGAAATCTAGTAAAAGTTGCATGTTGGTTGCTTGGGAGGGCGTGCTAAAATTTCCTTGCCATCATGTGACTGTATTAACTTCAGCGATTCAGAGCCGTCCGTGGAACCGCTGGAGAGCGCAGTTTTGTGACCCGTTCTGGTGAACAGTCAGATAGGAGCAGCGGTGAGCGTGGCACAGCAGCACCCTGGCACTGCAGCAGCCGGAGGCGTGGAGGCGGCGAAGCGGGTGTGCAGCTGTGCCCTCCCCGGGGGGTGCTTCCCTCAAATGGCAGATGGGCCCAGCACAGAGCTGAAAGGCGTCTTTGCTGCTTACCGTAAACCTTGTACCCAGTGTTAGTTGCACTTGTCTACAGCTGGAAGGCCACTTTTGCAGAGGCCTCTGTTCAAATCGTATCTTTGCAAGGTATGAGTAAGAGTTGCGTGAGGAGCTAAAAATACTTAAATAAAAAATACTTCACTTACTCAGTGAAGCTGAAATGAAAAGCAATGCTCTCTACAATGTTTGTACCCACCCTGGAGGCATATTCTGCCTGGCTAGCCTGTCTTCTCTTAAGACCGTCTTTACGAGGAGGATACGACAGGCACGTCTCGGAGGAATACGTGTTTCCTGCCCATTCAGCAGAGCGGGAACTTTCCTCTAGACCATGCAGTGGCTTTCAGTAGCTTCTCCATTTTGCCGTAGCATTAGTCCACGTGCTACTAGAGTAGAGGCTGTAAGACTAAGAACAGTTACTGAGCTGAAATAGTAAGAAAAGCCCACCCATCCGTAGGGTGAATTTGGTAATTTACTGCTTTGCCAGATGGGTGTGTTCTGGTGCCTGATTGTGTGTTTCTTGATCAGGGATGTGAGGGAAAGGAAGGGATTTGCCTGTACCACTTGCAAGAGAGAGAAACAGCAGCCACAAAATTAGCATGTATGCTGCATCAAAACCTTGAGGCCTGGGAGCCCTTGTGGTGAAATGGGGGAGGAGGCGGGGGGGCGGAAACACTTTTTTATTTATTTGTACTCCCAAATCTCTTATGTAGAGACTGCTGGGTGCTCAAAAGCCTATTAGACCAGCTGAAAAGTAACCGTGAGCTGTAGCTGAAAAGTTAATTTATTCTGTGGTAAAACATCCCCTGGTGCTCTCAGCTGGGGTTTTTCTTACCTGTATGAGAAATTACATTGTGTTGTCAATCAGTGCTGAGGAACCAGAGGCGAACCAGGATTGGCGATTAGAAAAGTGAAGTCCTGGAAAGCATTTGGTTTCTGCTGCTTTTCAATGAGGCATGGTCAGGCTGTACCCCTTGGTCATTTTTGATACTGGGATTCAGACTCCTGAGTCACTTAGTGTTTCCAAAACCACACCTAAAATAGGTAAGCTGGAAGTGGAGCAGACTGTGCTGAAGCACTAACCTTCAGAAGAACAGCACTTAAGGAAATCTGGGTTATTTCCATGTGCACAGAGAGAACCTGAAAGGACCGTGGTGCTTTCCCTCCCCACCTCCGCCAGGCAGCGTGCAGTTCCCACCCTGTCGCATCCCTCATGCCTGCAGAGAAGCAGGGCAGCCGGGAGGAGCCCTGGCCCGCAGCTTTGAGGACCGACCTACCTGGAGGTGGTTCTGTGCTGGCATTGGGGTGGCTGGAGAGAAGGGCCAGCCCTCGGGGGAGCTGGTGCTGCCCTGTCCCTGTGGTGGGCTGCTGCGGGAGAGTGCTCCGGTGCGGGGTTACTGCATGCCCTCTCCCTAGGCTTCTTCCTTAGGGATGGTGCGGGTGGCTTTACTGTCTGCCTTGGCGGGTTGCAGAAGGCAGTCGGGTTCCCTGCAAAGCTGGTGAGGAAATGCGGTGAGCCATTGCGCAAAAGAGCAGAAGGCCACATTAGCTTGGTCTGTCTTCAAAACTGGGTTAAATGCTGTAACTGGTATACTGTGACTTCAGTCACAGAAACTTTGAAGCCTGGATTTTACTTTGTTGTGTAGAGGTCTTTGTAGGAAAGCTCTCGCCAATTATTTTGTTTAAAGAGCCATTAAAAGCATTTTACATGTGCTCAAAGCTGTAGATGGGCTTAGTTTAAAATACTGCATGTTTTAAAGAGTGAACAGTTTAAAAACAACATTAAAAAAACAGGCAAAAGAAGAAACCCAGCCTTCTTTCCCTCTTTTTCATTCTTGTGTTTATTTTGACTAGTGTTATTAGTGTTATTACCCTGTGCATGGTAATGCTTACAGAATGATGAAAGATTAAAGGAAAAGAAGAGTTTATTTTGGAAACAATAAAAGCAGACGTGAAAAATTTGTTCTTTTACTTCTCTTGATACATCTGCCAAGATTGTGTCCAGTGATGGAGTACTTGAGAGCTAGAGAAGAGGGATCAGGTGAAGACTAAGATATGTGATCATACCTTGGTAATTTTTCATTTCCCTTCTTGTCCAAACTGCCATCTTTTCTTATTTTTTCTAATTTGTTTGCCTTTTATCTTACAAGAATACTTTTTTAAACTTCTTGCTTTCTCACACTTCAGTCATCACAGTTTGGAAGCTGTTGCAGGGAAGGTCCCATGTGTTCCATAGGAATCTGAAACGTTAAAAGAGGATGCCAGGCTCAATTCTTTGTTTCTTTACTATGAAGAGAGTAGCTGCAGGATGGGCTTGGCAGTCAAAAGTTCAACTGAGTCAGGAGCCTAAAATCTTTGCTAATTAAACCACCTATGTTTAGTGGCCTACATGTGAACGCAGGAATCTAGCTGTAATGATAGTCTCTAGAGAAACTTCACTTACAGCTCTAAAACACTTCATTTCCATGCCTGCTGAAAATGATTTATTTACGTTTGTTTTTCTGTACAGATTGAATATTTACTTAAAAAACTCACCGAAGCAATGGGAGCAGGCTGGCAGCAAGAGCAGTTTGACCATTACAAGATTGCCCTCAACACCAGTCGAGAAGGTCTTTCTGCATGGGAGCTGATTGATCTCATTGGAAGTGGGCAGTTTAGTAAAGGGATGGACCGACAGACAGTGTCCATGGCAATCAATGAAGTCTTTAATGAGCTCATATTAGACGTACTCAAACAGGTAAGAACTATAGAGAACTACTGTTTTAAAGTAGAACAATTTATTGCGTAATTAGAAAATATGCAACTTGTACTGAAATTTCTTTACCTGATGGATAATGAGCAGGGGGAAATTAGGTAAATTACTTATAAGGGTTCTTTAATATGAGCTTATTTTTGCAAAAGAGAAATTGTGCTACTGTCCAGATTGTTGTAATTGTTGCAGTATTATGAATGAGTTGCTTGTTGGGAGAGTTTGTTTTTAGAAAGTGAAAGAAGTGTGCTTTGACTTGAAATACAGCCTTTTTTATACTAGTATCAACTGCTTGTTAGCTGACAAAATAGCTGCGACACACTGATCAGTTCTTAAACTGGTGACAATTCTTCAATCTTTGAAAATGCTTTTTTCTAGTTTCAGTTATGTTGTAGCAAATACAAGTTGTGCTGATGATAACCTCCGTATTCAAACAAGGGGGCCTGGACAAAGGTATTGCTCCGGTTGAAAGGTCTTCTATGTTGCCCCACTTCAACAGGGCAAAAAGGTGTAGAAGAGCTCCAGAGCTCTCTCGCTTCTTGTCCTGTTTAGCAGGCTACGTGACTGACAACTTATTTACCTGTACTCAAACACAAGAAGTCATGCTGGCCTTTATATTGTTAGCAAACTTCTGTCAATCTTCAGTTTCTTCAGATTTCCAGTGGGTGGATTACCAGTTTAGGAATGGCTTTAAAAACTGCATTTCTTTCATGGCAAGTATAAATATCACAACTACCTAAGGGGTCACAACAGAGCTTACCTAGAGAGCTATTTAAAATTGACATTTACCTGACAGAATTTTTTTCATCTTTGATTTCTTGGCTTCTTGGTGAGGAGAGAAACAAAGGCTTTCTTGGCAGGCTTTCCTAAGCTGTTCTGAAGAAATCATCAGAAAGTCTTGGCACAGGAAATGCTTTCAGAATATCCACAGAACAATGCAAAACTCTATTTTTGTTAACTGTTGGTTGTCTGTTGGAAGTGAGGGCTGGACACATGCACACACACACACACACACACACAGTCAGTTGAGGGCAAAATGAAGTCATTCTGCTGTTTAATGTCATGAAAATAAAATAACCAGTATCAGGTCAGTCCTTCCACTTGAAACTTGTGAGGAAATTGGATTTATTTTCAGTTTTGATACTTCATTGTGTCTCTCTGTTGTCATGTCATGTCATGTCACACACCCCCCCCCCCCCCCTTTTTTTTTTTTTTTACTGTCTCCTTTCTTTCCTCTCTTGGTGGCTGGGCCTCTTTCTCAAGGGTGTCAGACACTCAGGTGTCTTTGAATGGTTCCTTGACACTTACAAATAGCTTGTGTCAAGATTTGGCCCAGCGCCTCTGGGACAGTCACTGACCTAATGGAGAACGGAGTTCACTCTGTGACTTACAGACGTCTGGTTCAGTCACAGCTTGTACCATGATACCTTGTTGATTCACAGAATCGTCCTGTTTATTGCAGTATATGATTACTTCAAGGTATCAATTAATGACATATCGTATTGTAGCCAAGTGTCATGCTACCCTTTTTATTGTACAATTATCTTGGATCTCCAAGGCTTATGGAGGGTAGCAGTGATAATTAAACTTGTGATATGTAGTTTTCTGAAAGATGTGTCCTTCATGTGGTAGCTGGTGTGAAAAGATCCCCAGGAGCTGACAGTGGGCTCTTGGAAGATGAGAAGCAGCTGATGCACTGAAATAACAGGTAAAGATTTTGCAGAAATTTGAGGGGAAAATACCAGTCTGACTTGGCTTTGAAAGCAAATTCAGTATGTCAGGAAGGGGAAAAACACCTGGTTATGACTTAGACTGCAAGGCATGAAAGAGTGAAGCTGCGGGAGTCCTTCACATGCCCTTGCGACCACCCAGACCTCGGACCTGAGTACGGAGGCGGCAAAGCAAGCTGTTTCTCTGCGCATTCGTGTTTTGGAGCAAGGGGGTGGGATGCCACAGGGGAACAGGCAAGGCCTTGGCTCTGGCCATTTTTAACTGGCTAGAAAAGCTAAGCACAGATAAGCAGTATGTGTAGGGGGATAGTTTCTTTTTCGGTTTTGGTGGGGGTTTTTTGTTTGGTTTGGTTTTGGTTTGTTTTTTTTAACAAAAGAGCTTCTCCAACTGTCCTGAATTTTTTTTCCACTCAGACCTGTACAGAAAGACACCTTTGACTTAAATATGCCGCAGCACATTTATTTGTTTGCTTGTATCCAAAATTAGATTTAAAAAAAAAGCCATTACAGAAAAATGTTCCTTGGTCTCCTTTCCAACTTTTCCATCCTCTTAATCTGGAATAGTTTGAGTATGGTGCTTTCTGTATGGCTTGTTCATAGTTATATTGATGTAGGTGTTTCAGTTTCATCTGTGATTTCACTTTTTTCTGAAGTTAGAAGTCAGACAAAAGTATGTAAGTAATTGGGGAACATGGTTTCAGAAATGGCAGGTATAGCTGAAATACTGGCAAACTTTGAAACTAGTTTAAAAACTAAGTCACAGCAGTGCCCCTGATAAGATCACTAAAAATCAAATGCCTGAAAGAATGACCAATTATTTTATCATTCTCTGTGCACTCTCTTCCATGAGATGGTTTTTTAATTGCCATAGCCACACTGGATAATGTGTAACAGGGTTACTAGTACAACTGCACTTAGTATTGCTGCTTGTATTTTAGATATGTTAATATTCAATAGAGGCAAACTTGGATGATTTGATTATGATACCAGCCATATTTATTGTCATTACAGAAGATTATAATTTTTATTCTTTTATTTGTGTAAAGCTCAGTGGCAAAGTGTGGGCTTCTCTTCCTTCCTTTGAAATAGTCTTGTTGAGGCTTGCAAGTGTGTTTTCTCATATAGGAAGGTGAGTGGATCGTCTTTCAAGGAAAATAAAATACTGCGAGTGAAATCTTGGCATTGTTTAAATCAAGGTACAACTCTGTTCCTTTAAGGGAAAATCCAGGGTCTACCAGTGTTCCCATATCCTGTCCAATAAAGATGGCAGGAGTATGGGCTAAATGATTAGCCCATGTGTGCTAGTATTAGGAATGGAAGTGTGTTGGTGAAATATTTAGGGCCTTGAGCTAATTTTTCTGTGTGCTCTATTGGGCCTTTAAGCCACATAACCAAAAGAACAGGCGGCTGAACAGAGGCCAGGCATTTCAGCTGATCTGTTGCTTTTTACAGGGCTATATGTTGAAAAAAGGTCACAAAAGGAAAAATTGGACGGAACGATGGTTTGTGCTAAAACCCAATATTATTTCCTACTACATAAGTGAAGATTTAAAGGACAAGAAGGGAGACATCATACTGGATGGCAACTGTTGTGTAGAGGTAAAAAAAAAAAAAACAACAAACCACCCCACCAAAAACTATGTATGTCTCTAAAGATAAGAATTAATCCTTTTTTGTGTGCGGGTTGGATTCCTGATATCTTTCATTAAAGGAGCTTTTTTTTAATTTTATATAAAAACAGTTCATAAACACTCTTTTAATAATGGTTCTTAGCACTGGTATTTGTAGCTCTGTAACAGATAACTGCATACGTGGGGCTTGACAATACGACTTAAACTTCAGTGTTTGCAAAGCTAATCCTTTTGTTACGCATTCTAGGCGTTGCCTGACAAAGATGGAAAGAAATGCCTTTTTCTCATAAAATGTCTTGATAAAAGCTTTGAGATCAGTGCCTCTGATAAAAAGAAGAAGCAGGAGTGGATTCAAGGTGAGGTCTTCAAAAATCTTAGTTATGTGACAGTTAAGGCAAGCTGAAGTCTTACAGCTGTGCTTTACTCAAATTTGAAATTTGAGTGAGGTGGAAGCCCTTGCAAAGCCACTGTTGCCAATGCCATTGAAGTATGTACAGCATTTAAATATTTGGAGCTGTGTGTTTTCATTTGCACCTCGCTCTTTACCTAAAGCATGTGTTTAATTGCACCAAATTCAGCTGTGTGATGAATGATTACTTCCAAAAGGAGATCTTTTTTCACGGTTTTAGTAGGTGAATAAAATATGAAAATCATCTGCCACTTCTCAGCTTTGCTCTCTGAATATTTCCTCACTGAATATAAGTGAATGAGAGCTGCTGTCTTACCGGGAGAAAGTTTTCCCTTGGAGTATCAGTAAGAATAAAGGGTTTAAGGTTGCTTCTAGGGAGGTAAGTGATGTATACGTTAGATAACATCTTATTGCTTGATTAGAGTCACTGAATCTAGATAGTAAGAAATCTTGACGTGTTGGGGGTTTTCTTTGCAGCTAGGCGTACAAGTGACTTGTACAGTCTGGCCTGTGGACATACTGGAATATATTGGAATATATATCAATATTGGAATTGACATAGTGCATTGGAATTACCGGACCTTATCCTTGTGGCACACAGCCAATACTCAAAGCCAAGCGTCTTTCACTTTTGGTTTGTGTTGACAGCTAGCCTGATGAGAATTAGGAGAACAACAGTTATTTCTGATTTAAAAATACATTTTAAAAAACTCAACAAACCACACACCACCACAAGTATTCGTTCACTAAGGCTATCCAGAGAGTTTAGCATTTCCCTTCACTGTTCTCTTCCTCTCCCTTTGTCTTGCACGCTCTTTTCCAGCCATACAGACCACTGTAAACCTGCTGAGAGCGGGGAGCCCTCCACCCCACAAAGAAGCACGCCAAAAACGAAAAGAACTGCGCCGGAAGCTGTTAGCTGAGCAAGAAGAGCTGGAGCGGCAGATGAAAGAACTGCAAACGGCCAACGAGAACAAGCAGAAGGAGCTGGAGACCGTGCGAAAGGTGGGAGTGGGAGCTGCTAACCTTCAAGCTTTAAGCTCAATCTCTGTGGTTGAGCTGGGCTTCTTGAATTACAATTAAGCATCGATTTCCTGTTCAGGTGTTCAGACACATTGAGTGAACTCCTCCAGGGGAGGTGAGTTTGTGTCAGCATCAGCCCCCTAAGCAAGTAGATTTGCTGGTTGAGCCTGCAGTAAAGCCTTCGGCATTGACTACAGCAGTTTCAGGACTGTGCAGCAGGCTCGGGGTAACTTACGTGGCCCAACCCTGTCCCCTTTCCTTATGAGGGTGTTGCGAAGCTAGTGTAGAAGAAAGCCCCAGCTGTGTGGAAGGTGTTTGGGGACTGGAGACTCTAGTATTTTCAGTTACTTGTGGGTTTTCTGTTTTTCTTCTCTGTCAGACATGTCTGTCAAACTTGGGGCTTTCCATTAAGATTTTCTCATACAGCTTTCCAAAGTTTTGTTATGTGAATTGTATGTGTGTGGGAACTGTTCTCTTCACACAGACGTAGTTTCCAGAGATATACATTTAATTGACAAAGATTGAATATGTATAGGCATAATTTTATTGGAGTAGTTTGGGAGAGATTTATAGAGCGGAGACACATAGCAACCATTTATAAACTGTTTAAATGCATGTTCCTTGTAAATGCTGGATTGACTTCTAAAAGCCTGAGAATTGGACTAGAAATCTCCGAGTATTAGCAGAAGACTTGCTGAATACGCTATTTCCCTTGTAGACAGCGTTTTAGTCTAACGACTGGCAGGAGACACCAAGGTGCCTTTGCTGTGGCTGCACACTCTTAACAGTAGGTTAAACATGCTGATGGATCTTTGTACTGTGGAACAACGGGTACCTCTGCAATCCTTCTCCACGGGGATTTGATTAGTATCCAGATATACTTTCTATCTTTTCTTTTTAAAGACTTGCAAGAAGAGTTACTATGGCTTTTATTGCTGTGATACCTTTTAATGAGGAGTGTGCCTTGGAAAGAGCTTAGAATGCCATCAAATGCCGCCTTCCCCACTGCTGCCTAACATTTTGGCTGCTGAGTCCCTGCTACTAGAGCAGTCCAGATCTTTGCTCTGTGCTTAGTCTAAAGAGTCTTTTGTTCACTACCTTCCCAAATTAATTTGACTTTTTGCGTTCCGATTTAGGACATGTCTGTATCATTGCTTGAGTTTTTCGTAAATGAAAAACACTAACTAATTTTAGCACTCGGTTAGAAAAAACTTTAATGATCTTTGCAGCAGGAGGGGGAGCTATAAATATTGTGAGAGCATGTTAAAGGTGCCAAGTCTAGAAAGCAAATAAAGTAATCCAAAATGTATCTTTTTAAACGTCTTGTCATTAAGTCACAATTTGTGGTGAGGAGAAATTTGTCTTTTTTTAATTAACCTTGCACTGACAGTACTGATGTGGGTATTACTCTTTTTGCCTTAAATGGAGCCTGACAGTGGAAAACCATTTTTTAATTTAATTTTAGCACCTATGTTATATCATGTGTTTAAGAGTCAGAATGCAAAATGCGCTTTAAAGGATAGCCTGTGTTATCTCCAAGTTACAGGTAAGTCATATACCTTTTAACAGAAATCATGGGGGTGGATTTCTGTGTTGCATTTATGGAGAAAAAGTTAGGGGGGAATATAACATGAGAGCAACCCCAAAGGAGTAGTAGAGTGTGGACAGGCTCCCGGGAGTTGTGTAGAAATCCCAGTGGGTAAACTAAAGAGAGTTGTGGCAAGAAGCATCTTTTGAAGTAGACTGGATTAAAATGACTTCTCAAGGAAAGTAGTTTAGTCTCCGACGTGAACTACTGCGCTTTGACTAAGTGGAATTAGTGGGGAGGTACCGTGTTGGAGGAACTTCAAGTGTTTGATTAGTTAGAAAAATGTTCTTCAAGGAAAAGGCTTTGTGAATGCCTCAGGAAACTGAATTGTTCTGGAAACCTTAGAGTTAGATTTGCTTCTGATGGCAGTGAGCCACCACTTATGCAGCATCTGCCAAAGCACGCTCTGAGACTGGTTTGTATTTTGATAGCTCCTGCAGTAGAAAAATTTCAGAAGAATAAAACTCTTTGTCTAAAACAGATTTTTTTCATATTTTTTAATGGAATTTTGAGATACACACATTGAACAGACTGAAAGGTAAATTTTCTTACCAAGAGAGCATGCACAAGACTTGTGCACCCTTTCTGTTTCAATTTGGAGTCTTGCACGGGATTCAGAGACTCTGTGCTAACTAATCCCTGCTGGAATGGTGTGTTCCTGTTGATTCCCCCTCCCTCCCCGCCCCCGGCATTTGGGACTTTTCCCCTAAACTGCACAGTTGTTGCCAGTAACCTTACCTGCCAGGAATTGATGTCCTCTGACATGAATTAAGCAGGAAGTTGCTGATAAAGAGCGGACAATGTATTTTCTTGTTAAGCTCTCTGGCAAAAGCCTAGCACCCACCCTTGCCTGTGACTCCTCTGTGCGTTCGCCCTCTCATCTCAGTATTGGCAATGTTTGTTTAATTTCAAAGTGGGGAAGGAAATAAAAAAATTTCATTTGAATAGGCATCTCGGATTTGACTACAATTACATGCTTTTAAATGTTCCGGTAGAGGAGGAATGCTACTTCTAAAACACTGGCATCATTTAAGCCTTTCAAAGGAGAGCAATTCTGTACTATCTTCTACAGCTTAAAACCAGGAACTAGGAGCCTTCTCCTTCCCTTCTTCACATCTATTTCAGATTAGAGTGCTATCACAAGCACTTAAAGGAATGAAGGTTTTAGCTTGGCAGTTTTAATTGTTTAGGCATCTCATTAGTTCATCTCGGGTGTGTGAGGGAAGATGGTTTAAATGTGGTACCTTCCAAAAATACTAATGATGGGTGTTCTGCTCTTACTAAGGGTCTGGGAAGCAATTTCACCAGCCCAGCGTATTGCAAAAGAAGGGTGCTTGCTTTCTGTTTCCTCTGAAGCATCAGATAAGTTTCTCAGGAAAATTCTGTGAAAGAATTATTTTGTCTTCAGTATTGGTAAAGTTTTGGCTGGTACTTGTACATTTCTAACCTTCTGTGCATTCTAAAAACACATGCTACCGAAATCCTGATGAAAGGAAAAACTGTAACAATTATCTTTATTTGTGAAATCAAGATGCAAAAAAAGTTAAATAAGTTGCAAGAAGGCATGAAGGTACCAGCAGCTGTTACCTAGGCCTTAGCTCTGACTATGCTGATTCTTCCCGTAATTTCAAGTGATTAATTTTATTTACCTTTGTCCTGGTTTTGGCTGGAATAGAGTTAATTTTCTTCCTAGTAGCAGGCATAGTGCTGTGTTTTGGATCTAGTAGGAGAAGAATGTTGATAACACACTGATGTTTTAGTTGTTGCTAAGTACTGCTTATGCTAGTCAAGGACTTTTCAGCTTCCCATGCTCTGCCAGGTGCACAAGAAACTGGGAGGGGGCACAGCCAGAATAGTTGATCCAAACTGCCCAAAGGGCTATTCCATACCATGTGACGTCATGCTCAGTATAGAAACTGGGGGGGGTTGGCCGGGGAGCAGCAATCGCTGCTCGGGAACTGTCTGGGTATCGGTCAGCAGGTGGTGAGCAATTGCATTGTGCATCACTTGCTTTGTATATTATTATTATTATCATCATTATTATATTGTTATTATTATCATTACTATTTTACTTTATTTCAACTATTAAACTGTTCTTATCTCAACCCAGGAGTGTTTCTCACTCTGACTCCTCCGATTCTCTCCCCCATCCCATCGGGGTAGGAGGAGTGAGCGAGCGGCTGCGTGGTGCTTAGTTGCTGGCTGGGGCTAAACCACGACAACCTTACATGGCAATTTAGGGGATGTTAAAGGGATGTGATTCACAATAGCACGATCACTTATTATAGTCAAAGTTTGCAGCACTTCTGCTTTCCCATGGCAATTTAGTGCTTCTCGCTTCTGTTTCTGTATGAACTCTATGCACGCTGGCATGTTTTCACGGTTGGAACTCCTGTGCAGTCCTGCCTGGGATGTGGGTTTCCATAATAGTTTTCTATCCCATATGAGATAGAGAAGGGAATATAGCGGTTTCTATTGGTTGTGCGAAGCAGGACTCAAAAGGAAACCTGGAGGAAGTCTAATAATTGACTTTTAATTGGTAAATTTAAAATCGTCTTGCAAACAACAAGATTAAAAATTATATTTAGAGATTGACAGTAGCCTTAGACATTTTAAAAAAAAGCTGGTGCCTTAATGCTTTTGAAGGTTTCCTCCATTTTTGTTAAAACCAAAAACTGTTAAATAAAATTCCATTCCTTCCAAATGTTTTAGTTTTGACAAATTGTTTTTTTCTTCTTCTCCCCCCCCCACCTCCTGCCCCTTCTCTTCCAGCAACTGGAAGCAGCAGCTGCTCGTGCTGCTGAGGAAGAGAAGAAAAGACTTCAGACTCAAGTCGAATTACAAGATCGCTTCAGTTTGGAGCTGGAGAGAGAAAAAATGGTGAGTAGTGCACGTGGTTTTTCGCTATGATTACACAGAGTGAGCAATGCGTTCAGCAATGACTTCCCTCACAGGCAGTCACTGAAAGGATCTGCAGATTTTGCAGAAGGCTGGAGAACGCAAACTGCGTTGCATTTATTAGAGATGTAGGAATAAAATATTTTTACTACTGAATTCAAATACTGCAAAACAGCTTTCTTACAAGTTGTATAGCATTCAAAGCTTAATGTTACTGGAAAATTGGGAAGAATTTGACTGTTTGAAGGATAAATGCAGACCGACGTTATCCTTGCAATTTTCAAAGATGGAGAACCTGAGGCCAGTACATACTATATGAATATGCAAAATGAACACAAGCATAATCAAAACGCATTTTAGGAATTTTCTGACTTGAATAGATTCCTAAAACTATTGGGTTTTTATACTGTGTGTTCTTTTACATTTATACACACACACAAATATAAAAAAATTAAAGAAATATTGTAGCTTTACAATGCTGTTACTATAATCCACACTGAGAATTTCCAAAAAAAACAATTTTCAATCTTCAAGGGCTTTGTCAGGCGTAACAGGCTTTTCTATTAGCTGGAGAAAAGAAGTAGGAATAGTCAAGTCGATGTGATGGAACGTCTAAGGACATAAATGCACACAGTGCTGCTTTATGGGCCGAGTGTGAATTCCTGAATACGCTCACTTTCTGGGTCAGTGGGAGTTGGGTTAGCTGAGGGAAAGCAGGCTGCAGAGCGGTGGAGCAGGACATGCCATCCTATCGCACTTGACAGCGAGCCTTTCTTGCTGACTTCAAGAGCTGTGCTCGCCTCCTGTGAAGTACATGTTATGTATTGCTAAACGCTGAGGTTTTGGTGCTTTGCCCTTCTCAGTTCAAAGCCAGCTGAGTGCTGTTGTCCCCCCGCAGTGATGGGCTGAGGGGGAGGACGGCTCTGGTGCCGCAGGGCCCCCGGTTTCCTGCTCTGGTCAGTGACAGGGGGTGGGGTGAGGATCAGAGGCTGGGTGACTGGCTGTGCAGCATACTCTATCCCTTACCTTGGTTTTTTGTTATAGTTGCTCTTCTCTTAGCAAAGCCAACCTCCTTAGCCTATTTCCAACCCTTTATCCATCCTGTGCTGTCACAGTGCCATTATCCAGATAAAAGTGTGTGAAATACACTATTGCCAAGGGAGGACTTGCCTGAGGAAAGGAGTGGAAATAGTGTAATTAGACCAGTCTGGGCACTCTACAAGCTTCCTCTTCCTTCAGATTAGTGTGTATCTGTAAACTAAGTGACGAGGTCAAGCTGACTGAAGTTAGGTTTAAACTCCTGTAAAAATCCTGTGCTGCATGAAGTAGGGCAATGTAAGTAACCTGTATTATTATTTATTTTTTTAAATGCTCTTATTTACACAGCTACAATTCTAGACTCAATTTTATCAGTTTTGCTCTGCAGGCAGCAGGAAAAGGTTTATCCCTGAAAACATTATTTGAAGGAAACCTGGCAATTCCTTTAAAAATTGGAAACCTGAGCTGAATGGTAGCTCATATGTGTCCTCAATTTCTGCTGCTAGGTAAGACAAAAAATGGAAGAGCAGGTTGCTCAGAAATCATCTGAACTGGAACAGTATTTGCAGAGAGTACGTGAACTGGAAGAAATGTATAAACAGCTACAGGAAGCTTTGGAGGATGAGAAACAGGCACGTCAAGACGAAGAGACTGTAAGGAAACTTCAAGCCAGGTATTGCTTTGACCTAGTAGAAATTTATTTCAGTTCCCCACTCCCCTTTGCAATAATAAGTAACTGTGCCATACTATTAAAGACTGTTTGCATCTTGGACATGCTGCCAGAAAGGGGGACTAGCTTGAAGTCCAAACACAAGATAGATACCCCACCCCCCCCCTTAAGCTATGAAGGCTAAAGCTGGTATTTATGATATTTTTTTTTTTAACATGTTTGATTAGCCCTTAGCAGTGAGAGTGCTCAGCAATTTCAGAAAAGCAGGCATACTTATTTTTCCATCAGGTGTTGTGTATGTCAACACTTGAAAAACTGAGATCACTTTGTACAGGCTTTTCAACTGTGTATTTTATAAAGCAGTAACTGTAAATATGTCTTTCAGCTGTATTTTATCACAGGTTTAAATTGTAATTGATAAAGGGTTAAGTCTCCTCTTACTCATATGGGCTTTGTTTAGTGTGGTTTGTTTCTTCATATATTCAGTCCTCCTAAGACAATTAAGATAACTTACGCATGCTTGATTCTTCTGTGGTTTTCAGTGTTGTGTATTTGCATTATTGACTAAATTTTCTGAATAGCCCTTTGTAGCAGTCAGACTGCTTGCACTGCTGGCATGATTTTCAGCTTTATGCTGAAGACAAGCCAACAAGCAATAACTTTTCCCCCATTTCTCATGCTTTTTTTTTCTTTCTTTTTTTTTTTTTAAAAAAAAAAAAGGAAAGAAAATAATTAGCTTGGCTTCCCTACATACATGCTACATAATGGATATAGCTTACTTTACAGCGTAGTTAACATCGCAATCCCCATTGCAGGTTACTGGAAGAGGAGTCAGCAAAGAGAGCTGAACTGGAAAAATGGCACTTGCAGCAGCAACAGACCATTCAGATGACAGAAGCAGAGAAGCAAGAGCTAGAAAACCAGAGAATGGTAAAGGAACGGGCTCTTCAAGTTGCTATGCAGCAACTGGAACAACTTGAACTGGAAAGGAAGGAGGCCCTTGCGCAATACGAGGTGGGCTGTTCTGTTCATCAACCTCTCATACTTAGCCAGGTATTCAGTAATTTAACTGAATTTGAAGTTCATTGATACCATGCTTCTTTAAGGATTAGTATGGCACAAAAATTGTAACAACAGGTAGGATATTTATGTGTTGGGGTTTTTTGACCTAGACCAGTAGATATATTTGAAGACGAGGACATGTTTCAGACACGCCACCTCCTTTATTCTTTTGTCCCATTTCACAGGCAGGCAGCTCAGTCATACCCTGAAATACTCTGTATACATGTGTCTTCTGCTGTAGCCTAACTTCTTATGCAGTCCCATTGCTGTCAAAACTAAATGCCCTTATGCTTTTGAATTAGTCATTCTTGCAGTGTTTTGATGATGTCATGGGGCAATATTGTCTTCTACAGATGAAAGATCAATGTGCTACTGTAGGCCCTTGCTCCTCAAAAAGGTATTTAAGCACTGAACTGACGTCAAGGGTAGCTAGGAATTAGCTCAGATTCTCAGTGTGTAGCGATGCCTTGTGTCCCAAACGCCAGGCCTGTTCTCGGCTCTGCTGAGTGTTTTTGGTGAAGGCCAGTAGCTGTATGCGTGGGGGGGGGGGGGGGGAACAACCCAAAAAAAAGAACCCAGTGAGTACAGAGTCTGAAGTGCTGCACACTTTCTAGGGCTAGGGAGGTGGTGTTCCTGCGTGTATTTAGGTCAGGAAACAAAACATGACTGGATTTCTGTTTAACTAGGGAGTGTGTTTATGCTGTCCCTGTGCCATTGAGGTTAGCTCTGTGAAGGACAAGCTAGTGAGCTGTCTCAACTGGCACAGAATACAAATGCTGCAGTGACTGCAAGCAGGGGCCCAAGTGTGGTAGTTCTGGCCCCTTTACAATTTACCATGTTGGCATTACATCTAACACCATCATTAGGCTGCTTTTGGCTAATACTTTATTTTAGACATCTCAGGCTTTTTGTATATGAAGCATCATTTACTATTAATTTAAGGAATTGCTGAAAACAATAGACATAAAAAACTGCAAACAAAAAAAACCCAACCAAAACAAATGATCGAGTAGGTCACTGTGATAGTTGACTCATTATTTTAGAAATAATTAAACATTCTGGCATTCCGTTTGGAATTGACCAAAAGACCAGTTTAGACTGAAGAATACCTCTTTCTTGCTTGGGTGTAACAGCAGCAGTCCTTTTCCTAGCTTACATTTTATGATTTCTGATAGTGAGAGATACCCACTAGCTGGTCTTAGTTTGGAACAGAAAACAGATCTTTCTGTTTTGAAACGACAGTTTATGCTTTCAGTCTTCGTGAAGACTAGCCCTACTTACACAGCTACAAAATCTTGTAAAACCTAGTTATTTTTGGATTCTGGTTTGACAACTTTTATACAGCTAGCTATAACTAAATTACTTAGGATGGTGTTAGAAAGGAAGTTCTCCTGTCTACACTAAATGGGGTACTGGCTTTAGATGTGGGTTCTGTCTTTAGATTTAAAAGAATGTTTTTTCTTTTTATATAAACAGAGTAAAGTTGTTCTTGTTTTCAAGTGAGCTGTATCTTATTTCAGGAGGTTAAGAAGAAGTTGGAAACGGCAGCTAATAACACCAAGAGTTGGAAAGATAAAGTAGCTCATCATGAGGGATTAATTCGACTAATAGAGCCAGGTAAGTTATCAACAGAAAAGTTACAAAAATATGTATTCATTCTGTCTCATATACTTAGATCACCTAGTGATTTGCTGAAGTCTGCCTTTTCCTGTAGCTTACTGGTTGCATGGCAGCCTATAAATTTTACATTTGTGAGAACTGCTGATGGTAACTTTCAAGTCTTTACCTCTCCTGGCCCTACTATAACAATGTTTTTAAATCATTATTATTTGTTTGTTTTTTTATTTAAAACAAAGCAAGGATCAACCTGAACATCGCATGGTTTGGGTGTTTAATGAAGCTAGCATAAATGCTAATTGCCAAAAACATGAAGTAAAGATAGGTCAAGTGTTTGATTTTTGGGAAAAGTTTAATCTCTTAGCTTAATTAATAGCATGCCGGCCCACAGGAAAGTGGCTTTGTAACGCAGTGCTGGAGAGATCACTTTCCTTCAAGGACATCTCTAAAGGCAAGAAGAAGAGAGGTTTACTAAGATACAACTATTTGGGGCGGGGGGAAGTTGGGAGATAAGGAGGCAAAAGATTGCAACAGTTGACAACTTCTCACTCCAAACACCTTCACTGATGGTGTCCCAGGCATTCCTCCCTCCTTGGTTAGCAGGTCCTCAGGTCACCTTTGAGAGGGTTTCCAGTTGTAGAAGAGACAGCACTTACCAAATCATCCTGTGGCGACACTGGGCCTGTCCCACTGATGGTGGCTGAGCGATGTCCCTGTCAGAAACGCCTGTTGCAAGTATTGTTGCACTCTGTCTTCCAGGCTCTAAGAATCCTCACTTGATCACAAACTGGGGCCCGGCTGCCTTCACTGAAGCTGAACTCAAGCAAAGACAAAAGAGCTGGAAAGGGAAAAAAGCCACTTCTGAGTAATGATATGAGCTGATGTGTTGCTCGTGAATAGAAGCCCACCTTCGTTCGTTCTGCTTTGCACAGAGCAGCTTCCTGCTTATCAAGATCTTAGTTTGTTCAGCA